GGTACCATACACAGTGGGCTGGGCCCTCCTGCATCAGTCAGCAGTCCCCAAACACCTTAGACCTGCCTATGGGCCAATCCAATGGAGGCGGTCCCATAGGTGAGGCTCCACAGATAACTCGGGACTCTGTCGGGTTGACAGCCGAAGCTGCCTAGAACTCTGTCTAAGGATCCGTTCCCCTCATAGGAAAGGTCTCTAGGTATGCTAAATGTTCGTCGAGCTCTGACCACTTGCTTTTAATTTTTGAGAATTTGATTATTGTGGAATCCATAAAAATCAAACTATACGATTTTACAAATGAATGTCCAGTTTCTAACATCATTATCCGTTCATGCTATTTTATATGTGCATATCAGAGCCTGCTGTTGAAGGATGCCTAGGCCTCTGTGCAGAACAAAGGAAAGCTGTCGCCATTCCTTCTTGTCCTCCACCTCCTGCTCACACTGCCCTGATTCACAAGTCCTGTTACACCATGGAGCATGAGTTCCTTTGGCTTCCTCTATTAAATAGTACCGTACGCTCTGAGGTGTGAAATCGGCCTGTACTTTCGTTAAAGTCCAATACTAATCCAGCAAAGGAGATTTTCTTTCGCCCTTTGATGCTTGTGGCCCATGGCTGTATCAGCTTGGCCATGTTACCTGACCTGGTGTCATGGAGTCTATGCAGATGCAGTGGAAGTAAAGGTTTCTAACAGGCCACACTGTAAACATTCACAGAGAGGATGGAGAACAGCACAAACCCACGAGGAAGCTTACTGGACGACAGAGTCTAAGTCCCAGGAATTCTAATTGAGGAGACTGCTCTAAGGCCGTCCACAGGAACCACTCTCTTCTCTTGTGGATAGTAATTCTTCTCTAGTTTGATTCAAAATTAAAATCGAGGTTGACTATTTTAAAGTTACATCATTTGAAACAATCTTAGAAATCAGTAATGGTTTTATAGTCCATGCCCATTAGAGTAGAATTAGGTAATTATGAATCGCTTGCTGATGATAGCTGCTTTCATATACTGGAGTAGAAAAGGGTTTAAATGGCCAGCAGCAAAAGGAGACACGGGGAAGCCCCCATTTATTCAGGGACAATGGGCTGAAAGGCTTGAGAGCCGAGTCGGCATTTGCTGTATATATGGTTTATCTGAAATATTTATTTTTGCTTAGTTTTCAAAACATGAAAGTATTAAGATGGGAGGCGGTGGTGGCGCACGCCTTTAATCCCAGCACTTGGGAGGCAGAGGCAGGCGGATTTCTGAGTTCGAGGCCAGCCTGGACTACAGAGTGAGTTCCAGGACAGCCAGGGCTACACAGAGAAACCCTGTCTCGAAAAACCAAAAAAAAAAAAAAAAAAAGTATTAAGACTAGCCTTGTTGCAAGGTCAAATTAATTAAAATACATGCAACAATCACTTAGAACAGTGTGAGAGACACCCAGTAAATTCTACATTGGCTTGATTGCTGTGGTTTTTCTTTGAAATTATTTTACACCTTATATTTTGCAATACAATTGGAAGTAATGGCTGGCAAATTTGAGGGTGCTTCCGAATTCTCTGAAGGGTTTGTGAAGACAGATTTCTGGGCCCTAGCCCCAGAGTTTGTGATTCACAGTATGGGATGGGACCTGGGGGTGTGTCCTTCTAAAGTCTCAGTCGGTGCTAATGGTGTTGGTCCTGCAGTCACACCTTGAGAAACAGTAATCTAAAGAACCTGGCTGTGCTTTGCAATCTCTCTCTCTCTCTCTCTCTCTCTCTCTCTCTCTCTCTCTCTCTCTCTCTCTGTCTCATTTTATGGAAACAATCTTTTAGCCTAGATTCAAGATAAAGGAACTCTGGACTGGAGAGATGGCCCAGTGGTTAAGAGCACTGATGGTTCTTCCTAGAGGTCCCTGAGTTCAGTTCCCAGCAACCACCTGGTGGCTCACAACCATCTGTAATGGGATCTGATGCCCTCTTCTGGTGTGTCCAAACAAATAAATATTTTTAAAAAATAAATAAATAAAGGAATCCTACTTTTATAGTAAAAAAAAAAAAGAAACCATGCAGCATTGGGGAGACTGGATCAGTTTATCATCAGAAGTGACCCAGTCCAAATGATGCGTTCGCATTCGGTAGAAACCGCACTGAAGCCTAGGGATGAAGTGACTGGCACAGAGGTGCAGAGATCAAAGCCACGGGCAGACCTGAGTGTTCCGGCTCCTAGCCAAGTCCTTCTACTTAATACCTTCATTGTCGGTAGCCTGTTTGGAGGAGGTAAGCAAATACCCAGACAGAAGTGTAATCCACATGGGCACAGGACGATGCTGCTTGTCCCAAAACTCAAGGCTCACTGGGAAACTAGGGAGGGCTTCCACAGTACCTCGTCATGCAGAGTCTGTGTAGAGAATTCAACCCTACACAGACGTCACCTTCGATGACTGGAATAACCCACCAGACAGCTTTCTTCCCTTACACAGCTCTCCTCTCAGTGTCTGTGGAAAAGCTGCCCTCCAAGTGTGACAGCCATTCAGTAGCACCTTTGGCTACTCACAAGCATCCCTCAGGCCTGGCCTCTTGCTGTTGCCTCCTATGAGCTGGAGGTGGGGAGTTCATGAGACTGAGGTTCCAGCCACTCCCTCTTACACCTCCCAAGTATGGAACCCTTCTTAAGTAGCATGTGTCCTCGGGGTCTCCAGAGGTGGTGGTACATGCAGTAGACAGGATTAGCTGAAGCAAACTCCATCTATGCAACTTTAAGGGAGCTTTTCGTGCTGGAGTGAGACTTGGGTGATTCAGTGTTTGTGGGGGGGGCTTACCTACTCTCCTGGAGGCAATCCCAGTAAAACTCACTTTTACCAAGGTAGATTTGAGTAGAATCATTATTTTGGCGGCCTTGTCTGGGGGAAGCAGATGTGTTCATGTCTGCCTACACAAAGTTCACGCAGCCCCCTCTTAAACAAGCAGGACACCGGTTAATGTAGAGATACTGCGTTATACCTTTCCAGTCCAGTTCTGCAATCCAGTGTCAGAAGTTGCCTTTCACTGCTGTGTATCTGAGGTTAGCCAAACCACTGTATCTAGTTCTCACTCCGAAGAAGAAAGGCTTTTAGCATACTGTTCTATACTATTCCAGACCTCAAGGGGAATGTGGGAAGGAATTATTTTAAGGGAAAATGTGAAACTGAGCCCCACGGTTCTTTCTCTCTTTTTAAGCTATGTTCCAGGTTTGACGGACTACTGTTCCTGTAGTCAGGTCACTGTGGGAAGAACTGGCTGATCACAGGACTAGGGGGAAGTCTCCACTAGTGTTCTGGTTGTTTCATGTCAATGAAAAAAGGGGCTCTGTGTAGAGAAAAACTAACTGTACTCAAAGAGAGGTCCGGTCCTTGCCCTCGGCTACTTAAGAGATGTGCTCTAAGCCTCTGGAATGCCCTGCCTTACAGAAGTATCTGGATGCTTTAGCCACAAGACAGTCTAACAACAAACACAGTTTATTACAGTGGGGGTTTGAGCCACCCTGTGTCAGCTGTGACGTGTGGAGGAACGGGAGCCTTCACAAAGTCAACCTCAAGGGTCATGTGAGTTTGAGCTGCAACCCAACTCTGACTGGAAAGCTTTTTGGAGTTGGCCAACTTCTGTATGGTGTCACATACTATGCCTGGAGAGAGGTGATAATACCCACTGACTCTTCTGAGATGGCCCCTGGACCCATGCATCTCTCTCCTTGGCTAACTTCAATCCTTTTCACTATGACAAACCCTAACCACAAAGGTAGCTCATCTCTAACTTCCATGAGTCTTGCTCACAAATAAAATTCGAGGGTGTCATGAGACTCATAGGCTCGTAGCCAGCTTGATTGATGTGAGGACTGTCCTCACTGGTGTTAACAGTTTGGCTACATTGTTGAGAATTAGACAAGATGGTTTAGGTCTAATTCATAACAGGGAAGTCTATGAAATTGGTGGGTTTAGAACCTGAGTTTTTTGTTTTTGTTTTTTCGAGACAGGGTTTCTCTGTATAGTCCAGGCTGTCCTGGAACTCACTCTGTAGATCAGGCTGGCCTCGAACTCAAATCTACCTGCCTCTGCCTCCCAAGTGCTGGGATTAAAGGCGTGCGCCACCACTGCCCGGCCTCCCTAGATTATAAATAAGATATTTCTCCAAGTTTTTTTTTATATTGTCTTGTAATCCAAGTCATCTTAAATATATGTTTGGGTGTGTTCCCAAGCAAGCAGTAACTATGTTAGGTTAAGAAGCACAGGCCCCATGTTCTCTTCGAACTTCTCACCACCTCCTAATGATGAGTCTGTTTCTCCTCCACACCCCCAAGCCATGGACTTTAAACATTTCATAATATCATTTTAAACGGTGCCTTGAACACCTCAGCTTGTTAGTCCAGATTTACAATCCCAGCTACTCAGGAGGCTGAGGCAGGAGGATCACAAGTTCCAGGCCTGCCTGGATTGTGAAGGGTGCTCCAAGACCGTCAATGATCATCTGGTCCCAAAGTAAAAAAAGAAGACTGGTGATGCAACCTAGAGGTGGAGCCCTTGCTTGGCGCTAACCTAGCATGTTCTGTGTTCAACCCCCATAACATGATGTCCTAACATGTACGGGTTTCCTGCTACGGGGCCAAAAATGAATGGCGGTGCTTGGGGAGCACAGATTTCGGCGTTCGAGGGGAGGTCTGTGCGGACGCCAGCTTGGCCTGTTTCCCACCTGGATTAGGATGGATCCAATGGGGTCGTTGATCTCCTGGGCCTGCGCCATGACTGAGGCGGACAGAAGACACTTGGCTCCGGAGGTATGGCCTCCTCCGGAGCGCTTCTAGAAGGTGCGGGCACCCGTCACCATAGCAACGCGGCGCGCGCGCGCGCGCGCGCGCGACCGGCACGCTCCACCGGAGGAGCGGAAGGGGGATGTGAGGCCAGCCCGCGCCTCGGCTGCCCAGCGCGCGGTCCCGCCCAGAGCGCGCGCCCGGAGCGCCTCCCCCGCGCGCCGGCTGCGGTGGTGCGGCCCAAGGCGGAAGCGGCGCCGGCGCGGAAGCCGCTCTGCCGCAGCGATGGCTGCCGGTGTCCCCTGCGCGCTGGTCACCAGCTGCTCTGCCACCTTCACCGGGGACCGGCTAGTGCAACGTGAGTAACCGGGCTGGGCCTGGGCTGGGCTGCAAGGCCCAGTTCGGAGCCACGGGCACGGGGCCGGCGACCTCTCCCGGGCACTGCGGGAACTGGGCTCCGGCTCGTCTGCAGGTGTCCTCGCCAGGCGCTTATCCCTCTTCCTGTGTAAAGTGAGGCCAGTCTCTGACCTCCAGCCTCAGGGGTGGTGGCGGGCACCCCCTGACATGGTACTCGAGGCCCCGGAACTTGTGCCCTTAGAGGAATGTAAGGCGCTGGAGTTGTGTTTTGGGGGTTATGCCCCTGCTGCTGGGGTAGTGTTTCCTCCTGTGAACTGAAGTGCTCAGAAAAAGAGATGCACGTGCGTTCGTGGTCTGCCAGGATGATGGACCGACCAGAATTCCTGTGACTGTGGAGAGCTGGAATTTTACTAACTGTAGCCAGATTCTCGTGGACTGCCTTTAGCTTCCTTCTTAGCCATTTGTTATCCACCTCCGTATCTGACCTAATATTCTTGTGTCTGACTATCAAGTAAAATCCTTTTGAATAAGCAGAGAGACCCCTAGCTTCTTCCATCAACCTAAAGGCTAAGAATTTTATCAGACGGTATCTGAGGCCTACAGCAGAGGCTTCCCCGATGTACTGTAATCCACCTACCTGAGGTTCTCACCCATGTATTTTTAAAACATCCTGGCATGTGGCTTTGTTGTCCCTATAAGAACATCATGAAATTGTTATTACCGTGTTGGAACATTTGATTTGAGGCAGCCTGGATTCCTGTTCCCTGTTCATGAGCATTCATATTTGGCTCCAGAATAAATGCTTATTCCCTTACAGATGAGAATTGTGGACATTCTTGACTCCCCTTGATTTTGTGTGTGTAATGTACATACATACATACATACATACATACATACACACACACTTGTGTGTGTCACATTTGTTGGCTGCCCTCTCACTTGCAGTTTAATTTCTTGAGTTCTTCCTGAGGTGCAGGTTCCCCAGAAAAATGAGTTTGAGGTGTTACTGCACCCAGTGCTTTTGCTTCTGGACCCTAAGCATGGCTCTAAAATTCAAGGTTTTTTTTTTCCCCTCTTTGGGGTGTGTGTGTGTATGTATGTATTTTCTGTTTTTTAATCCCACTGCCCTGTGCATACTAAGCATGGCACTCTATCTCTGAGATAAATCCCAGTCCCTCTACCCCAGAATGAGCTCTGAGGTGTAGGTCAGAGAGAGCTAAGGAGCCAGCTCACTGGCCAGTTGTCTGACTCTCTGTGGTCAAGTCGCTTCACCTCTGCCCTTCACGTTCCTGTCTACGGGCTGGGGGTTGTTTTACCGCAGGCTAGCGTGTGGCAAGCATTGGATAAGTGGTTGGCATTGTTGTAAAACCGTATCACCTGTTTAACTTGGCTTTGCTGATCCTTAAAGGGGTCACATGAACAGGTGTCTTTCGAGCCAGTGGATGCTGGCTTGCAAATCACCTGTAAAGCATTATACAGTTTATGTTTATTTTTTACACCTGTTGACAAAATTAGGCAAGCTGTCCTTCCAGCACGGATATTCTGTAATTTGGTTACTGTGAACACTTAGAAAGTTCCGTGCTAGGGCAGCAGCTTAATTAACAGCATTTACAAATGGGAACCAAACTCTCTGCCATTCTCTTACTTCCCTAGGGGAAGTAAGCAGTGCTCCCCACCATCCCTCCCGCTAGGTCTCCCATCTATACCCCTTATTCTTTATGTTGAATTTAGTACAATTTAGCATATGGAGAAAAAAAAATGTTAGCTAACATTTTGGTGATGTTTTTTTTTTTTTTTTGCAGTCTCCCTGGACCCCTGCATAGTTTCTGTGTTTTGTAATTATTGTAATTATATAATTCTGCTTCATATGTAGTTCTTAGCCGTGTGTGTGTGTGTGTGTGTGTGTGTGTAGTGTTGGTGATGGATCCCAGAGTCTTACACACGTTAAGCAAGTGCTCTACTACTGAGTCACACCCTAATCCCCTATCCTGATTTTTTTTTTTAACATTAAGTGAAAAAGTACTTTCTATTGTACATTCATACAGTGAATATACCAGAGTTTTCTCAAGGTGTTTATGGGTCTGTATTTATCTGACTTCCTATAAAATTTATACTCATTTAGATTCCCATTAATGACAGATGAATGAGCTTTAAAGGCAGGCTCAGGAATGTTATATAGTCTGATAGTTGTGGCGCTCTGTCTCCCTCTCGTCCCCCAACAAGGTCTTGCTATGTCTCCTAAGCCAGCTCTGAACTTGTAGTCCAAGTGTTGGGCCCACCATGCTGTCCTATTTCTCAAACCCTGTCCTGTTTGTCAAAGATCAGAACTGGCAAATGTGGTCAGTGACTTGAAAGAGCTGATCGGTCACCAGTAGCCAGCACACGGTGACATTTGTTCTTTGTTCTTTAATAGAGACTTTGAACATTATTGGGGACGGGGGTGAGGTTCTATGAAATAGCACATTTTATTTCTGTATGCAGAGTGTCTTAGGAAACTCTTAATTCTTGTTAAAGTTAGGTGCCACTCATTAGTGTTCCACGAGTCAGCAAGAGAAGGACCAGCCAGCAGGTTATTTAAGTAAGGAAATCGTGAAAGAGGGCAGGTCAGTTCTTCCAAGGTCATGGGGGACAGAGGCCACCGATGGCGTTAAAGACTGACTTCCATTATTCAGGGAATGAATTTAATTTGGGGATAAAAGATGGAGACCACCACCACGAGTAACTGTAGTCCAGGTAGGACCCGGGTTTTGGATCGACTCGTATGTGCTTTTGGGGGGGGGGGGGAGGTTGCCTTGGTCTGGAAGAGGAATCCTGTTTCTGTCGTCAGTCTTTCTGTACCTGATCTGTTTTACTGCTCTTGACCAACAGTGTTAAGTATCTTGTCATCAAACACCAGGTTTGTTAGAAATTCACTCTAAGAATCAGTAGGCCTTGACTGTGGATAAAGTACCTGCATGGACTTTGTCAAAAACTTCTTGTCACCGGGCAGTGGTGGCGCACACCTTTAATCCCAGCACTTGGGAGGCTGAGGCAGGCGGATTTCTGAGTTTGAGAGTTCGAGGCTAGCCAGGGCTACACAGAGAAACCCTGTCTCGAAAAACCAAACCAAAAAAAAAAAAACAAAAACAAAAAAACAACCAACTTCTTGTCACTCTAAGACTTACTTGCAGTACTCCAGTTAGGTACATATATAGCCAAAGGGGGCCTTCTTGGCATACAGTTGTGTGTGTGTGTGTGTGTGGACAGCTGTGGGAGTTGGATCTCTTACTCCACCACATGCATTCCTGAGACTGAGCTCAGCTTGCCTGGCCTGTCTGCACTGTTGCCACCTGAGCTGTCTCACCGGTCCCACAGTGCCACAGTCCCACAGTGCCGGCCATCACAAGCTCGGCATGCTGAGGAACCTGTGCAAGGAACTGCATGATGCATGAGAGTGACCACGCTTCAGGCCAGAGCTCCCTCTGCCCGGAGTATGCTTTGTGAACATAATACTGTCATCCTAGAAAGGTGTGTTCTGATAGACGTTTATTAGAGCTGGTGTCTGTTGTAGCTACTGCCACTAAAATTATGACTTAAGGTACTGTTCCCACCCTCAAGGGGAGTGTAGTAAAAACACATGCCCTATCTGTGAAAATTACAAAACGTTAAGTGCTAACATCTCATCCCTCTAGAAAAGAACTTAGAAGAACTCCTGGAGAATGATGTGGTTTTAAAATATGTGATGCCAACCCAGCAGTTGTGGGTCAGCCACCGTGTTTCCACATCTGGACAAGCTGTCAGAACATCTGCAGCAAAATCCCTTTAGTTAGTAACGTGCAGAAACTTAAGAGATATTATAATAGTACTGTATGTGTATGTAGAACTCTTCATAAGAGCGTTATTAGTAGATCTGTGTGTGTGTGTGTTTGTCTGTCTGTGTCTGTCTGTGAATGTGTGTGTGTGTCTGTGTCTGTGTGTGTGTGTCTTTGTATGAGTATATACGAGTGCAGTACCAAGGGAAGCCACAAGAGGGAGTTGGGTGTGGATTCCTCAAAGCCAGAGTTAACAAGTAGTTGGGAGCTACCCCGTGGGCCCTGAGAATTGAATTCAGGATCCTCTGGAAGATCAGGAAGCCTCTTGATTTTCTAATCTGTCTTTCCAGGCACCCTCAGCTGTGTTTTTAAAAGACAAAATTTACTTTAGTTCTAATCACAGTAGGATAGGGCATACCCATCTTATGGTGAAGGAACTGGTTTGGAAATACAAGGTTTAATTTACCTAGAGTGCTCAGGCAGTAACTGCTGCTGTGTGTGTTCATGGTCAAGTTTTAGCCCAGAGAAAGGTAGAGCTGAGATGTAAACGGAACTACTGCTTAAGGTGGCTGCTTTGGGGTATGAAGCAGTAGGAAGAATTAATGCTTACAAGATAGTTTTAAATATGCTTTCATTACTGTCTGGGATAGTTGAAGATTTATTGATGAGTGGAAGGGGAGGAATCTGGGAATCTGCCTAGAGAATGTATATTACATTAAAATAGAGCATTATTTAACACAGGATGTAGGTGTGGCGTATTAAATATACATTAAAAGATCATTTGCGCGTTAAGTCTAACAATTTCTGGGTTTTTCCTTTTCTTAGTTAATTAAATTTAAGGCAGAGACATTGTGTGTCCGGCAGTTCACTGTAATATGAGTAGGCCACATATCTGTTCATATTAATATGACATCCCATTGGGTTGAGGATTCTGTGTATCAGTAATTCTTCCTTCTGTGTTTGGTAGTATAGTGCGTATTGATTCTGAATTTCCTTTTTTGAACAAGGTCTCACTATGTAACCCTGGCTGGCCTGGAACTCACTATCTAGACTAAGCCATTCTCAAACTCGCAGAGACCCGCCCACCTCTGCTTCCTGAGTGCTGGCATTAAAGGCATATGCTACCATGCCCAGCAATTTGAGCATTCTTAACCTATATTATTTTATTTTTATTTTTAAGAATCCATCCTTATTTTGAGATTTCAACAGA